AAGCTACAAACCACTGGCTGGTTTGTATTTTTAGATTAAAAAAAAACCACCCAGATATATAACTATGGAGATTTAAAGTGATTATAAGTAGTAAGCATACAGATCAAAGCTGTTCACAAATTTACTTTTAATTCTTAGGTAATCTGAGTTCTATAAACAGGATTTTAATCAAGTAATGTCTCATCCTGATAGATTATACAAAGTGGTCCCAGATCTTCAAGTACACAGGCTAGAATGGCCTTCCAGCCCAGGACCACTGTCCCCAGTTCAAAGACTTTGTCTTCCAGACATGTTTCCAGGTGTTGAGTTGGGGGGGAGAGAGGCCAAGTTATGATGTCATTTCCCCCTTCTTTTATAGTTTCTTCCAGCTTGTTGGAAATATTCATGCTTGTGACATGGAGACTCGCCCCCATTGCTCAAACATTTTCCATTGTCTATGTGCTCTCTCTGAGAAATTTGAGAGTTGTTGAGAGTGTGGGTTCCCTTTAATGAGTCATGAGCATACAGGTTGCACCTCTATAAACTGGAACTCTCTAGTTCAACAACATCCACGGTCCGGCAGGACCAGGGATGTTCCAGGATCAGAGAGTCCCGGTGTGCTGCAGGGGGTGGGGGAGCCAGGAGCAGGGTTCCCTTTAAAGCTCTCTCTGAGAAATTTGAGAGTTGTTGAGAGTGTGGGTTCCCTTTAATGAGTCATGAGCATACAGGTTGCACCTCTATAAACTGGAACTCTCTAGTTCAACAACATCCACGGTCCGGCAGGACCAGGGATGTTCCAGGATCAGAGAGTCCCGGTGTGCTGCAGGGGGTGGGGGAGCCAGGAGCAGGGTTCCCTTTAAAAAAATTTGCCTCCCTCTACAAAAATTTGCCTCCCCCCCACCTCCAAGAGCCATGCACTGGTTACTCAGCTGCTCTGGGGTGGGGCCACGTGTTGGGCGGCAGCTTCTCCAGTGGCCCGGGCTGCAGCGGTGGGGGCTGCTCCTGTCAGGCTGGAGTGTCCCTGCCTGTGCCAGGCCCCACAGAGCTGGAGCAGTCCACTGGTTGACCGTAAGTAGTAAGCATCACCCAGTAAGGGTGATAACCATTCACATCCCTATTTTGAATAGGAGTTTAATAGTTGGGCTTTATTGTTTTACATTGATTTTTTGTGTGTGTGTTTGCTAGGTTGGTTTTTGTTTTTAAACCACCCAGCTGGTGTCCTTCTTTGAGCTTTTACAAGATTTTAAAGAAGAAGTATTATGTTTTGTATTTTATAGGAATACCTATAATTATTTTTAAATGTTTATTTTAATGATTTTCATTGTTTTAGTTGCTTTATTTCTGACAAAAGGATTTAGGGTGTTTATTTTGGGTTTCTCTCTTTATTATCACTTACGGGGAAAAAAGTTAAACTTTGTGAAAGCATCAGGACACTTGAAGAGTTAACTAACAAAGTTAAAGCAAAATGCAGGACAATGTAGCACTTTAAAGACTAACAAGATGGTTTATTAGATGATGAGCTTTCGTGGGCCAGACCCACTTCCTCAGATCAAAACAAAACAAAGTTAAGGCTGTCAGTAGATGCTCACTGCCAGATAAAGAGTAGCTGTCAGTTTTGCAACCTTGAATAAAATATTTGAATAGATTTTTAATGGAATTTTTAAAAAGCTAATTTATTTTGTGTATATATATATATATA